GCGCCACTTTAACCGCAAGCCCAGAAGATCTTTTAAGAAAGCGCAGAAAAGGACAAGAGGAACAGTCCAGAAGAGACTTGAATCCAAATAGATATAAGAAAAAGAAGGGGGTAGCGCCTCCAATGGAAACGTAGAAAAAAGCTAGATAGTCCACGATCGCAGAAAATGGTGACGAGAGGATCCACTATGTTGATCCGAGTCGGTCGAGGATCGGCTGTGTGCTTTAGGTGCGGTGAAGCCGGTCAAAAGTTATCTAATTGTTCGAAGAACCCAAGCTGTCCCTGGAAAAAGCCAAGAAGACTCTCGCAAGAACAAAAAAAAAGTTCTTGCAGGATTTTTTCATATTTCTCCATCTTGTTAAAAAGAATTTAAAGGACTAGGATTCTACTGCGAGCAAACAGTAGAATTGTTATGTTCAGATTTTAAAACAACTTGGGCCAAATACAAAGTTTCCAATTAACATTCAGAATACCCATCTCAATTACTTCAAGCAGTTCAAGAATACAATTCTATAAACATACTATTATGTTTATTATTGTTTATTATCGTGTGAGGTAGGGGAATAGTGTCAGGGTTGGACACTTGGCTTTTTTTAAATAAGAACACTAGCGCCACCTGTGTGCGTACGTGACGAATCTTCTAGTAGTGTAACCTAACTTTTTGTGACATTACATTTTTGGAGAATCAAAAGTAGCGTCTCCTGTGACTTCGGTGCAATCGAAGAGACAAAAAAAGTTTTGTTTGACTTGTGAATAAACCTAAAAAATGTGTAAAAAAGCAAGAATTCGGCAAGGTAAGCTTATTGAATGCATTGTGGGGTACATAATTTAGGAAGAAAAAAAGTGAAAAATCGAATCGCGACACATGTCTGGTTATGGTTAGCACAATTCGAAAATGATGCTTCTAGTTAGGGTTGGACACCCATATTAATTATGAATTTGACACAATTTATAAATAAATAAACAAATAAATTTTATTTTATTGATATTTCAGTGCAAAATTGTGCCAAAGATATTAGAAAATTAATACTTAAATTGTATAAATTTTGTTCATCATTTCATTGAGTTATTTGGAACAATAAAGCGTTATTTTTTGTAATTTGAGTTCATTCCTTTTTTAAACCCATGAAGCTTTACAATTTGTAAACAATAAGTAAAGATAAACATGAAAAAATAAGAATAAAAAACATTACAAATGTTATTTTACGCTTTTACCAATAATGCGTTTCGATTTTCAAAAAGTGTCCAACCCTGACTGAAAAGTCCAAACCTGACTAGATTTTTTTTTAAAAATGTTTATAACTTTTTTAATTTTGGACCAATCAATTTACGGTCCACAGCAAAAGTGTTCCTCTTTTGTAGATCTTTCCACCCATATACCACAATTGACTGAATTTATCTAAACAAAATATTTATAAACAAAAAACTAAAACTGTGTCCAACCCTGACACTATTCCCCTATATAAATAAGCAATAAATTATTAAAAATTTATCAATAATAAATGTATACATTCAAATTTAAGCAATTATAATGTCCTTAAATTTGAATTGTATTATAGCTAGTATGTTAAATTTAAAAAAACAATATTTTCTTTTAAAAATGAGTTTTTTAAAAAAAACTCGATAAGTTATGAGGTATAATTTTTTATACACTATTTAGGACCCAAAGAACTCAAATCCACAAAAAAATTGATGTGCCTTAATCTTCGATTAAAAGTTGGTTCAAGCACATCGAGGTTTTATATATATTTATTTAATTTATGTTGTCTTTTTATAGTTTTATCTTTTTCTTTTTTTCATTAATTATTTACTTTATATGCGCTATAAATTTGAACCTTTTTTAAAAAGAAAACTTTCTTACAACAGTTCCGAGGGTAGATAAAGAGTTCCAAAAGAAGGGTTACGTGTTTTAGTGGGTCGGGCTGGTAGTAGACTTTCGTAAAACAAATTTTTCTATACCAGGTGACGTGGGAATTTTCCACATGGCCTTAAAAAATGATAAAAAAAAATTTCTTTAAACCATAGTAATTCCATAACTGAGTGAAAGTTATATAAATAAATTATGAAATGATGAATTTATCACTTGGTGGTATTTAATAAATTAGATAATTTAATAATAAATTAAAAAATTTAATTCCTAATATCAATCAATTTTCTTCTTTTAGTTCTAATATAATTTGGTTTTAATTAATTAAATAAAATCCGATAATGGAAATTTTTTAAAATCTAGAATTAAAAATTAAAGCGTAACTTTATTTATTCACCTATTGTGGAGCAATGAAGTTTTTACTATTTTTTTTGTATTTTTGCGGAAATTTTCTTTTGTAATACTGAAATTATTTCATAAATAATAAATAATATTATTATTATCTATTAACAATTATTTTGAAATAAAATTTCCTTTTGAAATAGGTAGGAAAAAAATAACAATTTTCGTGATGTTTGCAAAAAAAATTATAACATTCTCATTATATGAGAGAGAGAGAGAGAGAGAGAGAGAGAGAGAGAATATTACACGATTGATTCACAATTGAATTCTGTTATATTCAACAACACTTCAACGTTTTGAGAGCTCTGAAATGGAAAATCATATTTTGACCATTTTATGTTTACAAATAATTTTTTAAATATTTTTTTTTTTGCAAAAGTTAGTAAAAAAACATTCTATTTACATTTTGCTGTCTTCATTTTTAATGAGTTATTAATTTTCAAATCTGTTATCGATTTTTTATGAAGCCTGAGAATAATAATATTGTGAAATTTGTTAAAAATATCAAACTTATTGACAAGCAAAGAATTTTAATTATTTAAAATTCTGATTATATCTGAAATAAATTAAAGCTGAACATCTAAAGTTTGATATACTCGTACTCTCTTATCGTATACGATCACTGAAATGCAACTTTAAACGTAAAATATACTATTTGAAATATTATATTATAGTTTATTGTAAATTCATTAATTCATAATTACATAATATTATTACTAAATAAATAAACAATAAAGTAACAATATGAAAATTAATAAATAAAGAAAAAAGTTTTTTTGTTCTGTGTGTAATTTTTCAATCTTTAGAGTTTAATATTTTCAATGATTTAGATTTTTTCTTAATAAGAAATTGAAAATAGAGATTACTGAGATTTTTTGTATCTTCATTTTTTTGTAAATTGATATGTTTCATATGAGAAATGAATCGTTGAAAGAAATTTGATTCTCTATACACAATAGTGAGAAATTAAAAGTTTAGAATTTTTTATATTAAATTAAATAAATTAAAAAATTACAAATAAAATTGGAAAAAAACGAAACTAAAAATTACCTAATTAAATTAAAATATTTTAAAATAAAAAATAGATATCCCAAAGTTATATATTTTTGTGAGTTGTAAAATTTGAGTACACTGAGAAAAATGTTTGGTCAGAGCAACCAAAATTTGGTTGGGTGTTTTTTGTTGACATAACAAAAATGTTTGGTTAGCGCAACCAAATTTTTTTTTGTTAGGTCAACAAAAATGTTTGGTTGATCAAACAAACAGTTTTTTTTGTACAATTAAAAATTTTATTCTACCTTATTTCTTTTCTTTTTATCTTTTTTATTTATTTCATTATTTATTTATTATCAATTTAACATTGAATTTATATTTATCCAATTGAAATATTTGTGGACTTTGAACAATCTCATCTCCACCTGGGATCGAACCTCTGTTTTAAAACTGAAGGTCGGGAGCTCTGACCACTGGACTACCCATCCTTGTGAGAGATTTAAACTAACTGTTCTCTTAAGCTATGAGCTGAGAGCGAATCAAAATATTTGGTTGTCGCAACCAAATTTTGGTTAGGATAACAAACGATCATTTGGTTTTTTAGAGCAAACTATTTTGTTGTGTTAACCAAATTCTTTTGTTGTCGTAACCAAATTTTGGTTGGAATTTAAAAATGTTCAACTAAATAATTTTGTTGGCCTAACCCAATATTTGGTTGAGAGTTGAGTTGAGTTTCAGCCAACCAAAATTTGGTTACAAGAACCAAAATTGCCTAACCAAACAATTTTGTTGCAAACACTAAATTTTTTTTCTCAGTGTACGTTTTACAGTTCATTTCATTTTAACTAAATTTTTTTTACTAAAGCTACTTTTCTTACATTCAATACTTTAATGGTTAAAATTAGTTTTTGTAGACATATCTATTGTTGTAGTATAATAATTTTTTAAAAATTAATTTGAACATTTTACTTTTCAACTATAAGAATCCTCTTAATTTGAGAGGAATTCTTTATTGACCATATGTATAACAAAAAAATTGCATTAAAAAATTTTGTTTATATATATATATATATATATATATATATATATATATATATATATATATATATATATTAGTTTTTAAAATTAAAAAAATTGAAAATAAGAAAAATAATAATAACAGCAAAAGAAAATTGAAATAATATGTGTGTCTGTATTTTTTTTCTTTCTATATATCATGAGAGTAATAAATTGAATCAGAATCCAGTTGACAGAAAATCGAACATAAGTAACGAGGGGTTGGACAATTTCAATAAAATAGCATTTTAAACAGGAAATCCAGATAAACTCTCGATTCCATCGTACAACGTCGATAAAGAATTACGAGCGAATAACTTTTAATGACCTTCCTCTAGCGAGAGAAGACGTCTTTCAATTGGCGAGGAAACTGGGCATTTTCCAGATTGTCATCGAAACGAGAAAAGACAATGCCCAGGTGAAAATGGATATATTATACTTTTCCGATCATACACGATATTCATTTCATATTGAATTTTACCTTTCTACAGGTACTAAATTAAAAATTTGTTCTACTCCTTTCTTTATTATTTATAAAAGAAACTTTTTTAAATAAATAATTTTATTTATATAATAAACATTAGATTTTTATTTATTTATAGAACAGTTGAAAAAATGTTTATTTTAAGAAAAGTATTTGCTTTATCTTTATAAAGGATGATAAAGAAATTAAAAAATTTTACCATTATCACTGCCATAAAGAATCTTCATTAAGTTGTTTATCCACTTGCCAATGAATAAGCCATTGTTGAATTTTTCTGATGACACACTTGTTGAATGATCGTTTTGGAAAAATTGTCCTTTATCCGATATATTTTTAATTCTGTAACAGAAAAAAAAGTAATCGATATGTATAGAAATTTTTCAATTTACAGAGTGTTTGATATAGTTGCGATTTAATTTTTAACACTTTTTATCATAACATTATAAATTATGTATAATATAATGATTAAAATCCATTAAACTAGATATTAATATTTACATGCGGATCATGATTGATCTATATACATATAACGTAATTATGTTAGAGAAGTAATTAATTTTAATGACTCCTTAAGAAATTATAGAGATCGTTATAGTTAATGGTTTTGGATGCGAGACACTGAAATAAATGGTCCAATAAACATATTTATCCAGCAAACAATAAGTACAAATGTCATTGTTTTAATTGTTAGATTTTATTAGAAACTAGTTCACCATTATCTTATAAAATAATTACTAAATACTACTAGTGAAATATTTTTTATATAATAAGTTATTATTTACTATTATTTTTTAATATTATTAAAATTTTTAATAATTTTTTTTTGTGTTGCGAGGGAAGGGGGAAAATCTGCATAACCTTTGTTTTCTAAGATAGATACCTGGATCCACTAAATACCACATTTTTTGGTTGAACTAATCCTTGCACTATGGAACCGCCGTATATTTTTTTGCATTAAAATCAGCTTGGGCTTCTCTTACAGTCTGTGAACTTGTGATCAGATTCACCGCACTTAAAAAGGATCTTTAAAAGCGCAGGAAGTCCGCCACGTTACAGGCTTTTCCTATGTATCCATAATCAAGACGTCGAAGACACCTAGTGACCATCACTATTTTATTTATTAGACACGATATAAAACCTATCTTTATACACTCCAAATGCTCCAGTCTGTCAGACTCTTCTTGGTCGGTGGCTACAACGACAATCTTCATCCCTCGCTTATTGGGTCCTAAGACCGTCATCTTCCTGTTTTCTGGTTTTAAGAACACTTCTTGCCATCTTTGTTGCATTTTTTCTTCCTGGGTAAGGCAATTCAGGTCGCGGATCTCCAGTGTGACCCTTTCATCCACAGTCTGTACCTTCTCCATACTTCCAACCACTTTAGATACCTCCGCGGTAAATGACTCCTTCTTGAAACCGCCTCCGATTTAGATCGAAAAGGTCTCCTTTTTTCGTAGCTTTAGCAGACACCATCCTTGTGTTGCAGACGTCCGGGTTCATCTCTTCTCCAAGCTTTCCCAAAATATCAGCATACGAACATCTTTGACCGAGTCAGACGACCATCTCATCTCACCACCACTGATCTTCTTTTCCTGAACAGGACACTGCGGCTTTGGAGACTCCGTTGCTCTGAAGGTGTTTCCTCCTTCTTCTTCTGATTCATCGCCACTTCTAAGTTACCAGGACTCCGTTCACTTTTCTTCACTTTGTGAATAGCGCGCCTCATCACTGAAAAAGACTTGGTCGTTCAGACTACCCAACGCATGTATGAGAAGCACCAAAGAAAAAGGTTCTGCGCAACTTCAGTGTGGGGCTAACTGTTTCCCAACTTGGGCATCACCAAGTCTTGATAACAATAACGTAGAACATCAGCTCCAGACATTCCAAAGCAAAGAGCTACTGCACTTCCACTGCTTGGAACTGCTGATCGCTCAACACGTTTTCAATTCAGAGTGCTAGATTCTGTAGTTTTCATTCGCAAATCCTAGAGCGCACACTTTAGGCGATCGTCACCGTTGTCCGCCTCTTTGTGCTTATTTCTTGTCTCCTCTACAGTAATCTGAAAAGTTTTCAACCCATCCTTAATTAGGCGATTGAAGTTTTTCTAAACGTCGCAATGCTTCAGGATTATCTGGATCTCGATATCAATCATTCCCAACATCTCTGACACCTCTTCTCGTATTTTTTCCGTTCCTCGTCGATCATCTCCGCATCTTTTTCCGTAGGTATGATGCTAGTAGCACTTATGCTGATGCTAACACTAAAAATGCTCGATGTACTTCCAGTCCAGCAACGCTACTGGAGTATCCCTCTTATGCACCGTAAGCAACTTTACTTAAACTGTTTCTATCCATTTTTTTAATCTCCTTCCCTTACATCTTGCTTTTTGGATGTCCTTTAGTGACAAGCCCTGACTCCCTGGGTATAAAATTAACTCGTAAAGCATTAACTCCCTTTGCCTCAAGTCCAAAAGGATGGGACTTTTATAGTATCCCCTAGGAAGTTAAAATTCAACTCTTTTTCTTTTACAGTGTAATAGTACTAATATTAGTAATAATGTTATTATTAAAGGGGGATAAGGCGTGACTAATTAATAGTTCTGGAGAAGAGCGATAGAAATTTTATTTTAAATCTTACCCTTTCAGAAACTCTCCTCAATAAAAAAACTTATTTATCTACGGAAAATGTTATTGATAATAAAGAAAACTGTATGTATGTCGATAATTCAGAAATTAAACTTAAAACTTAATAGTTGAATTGGGAATAAATAATAATTGTGACACGTAACTTAGATTTCAGTTAAGTGAAAATTTTATTTTAAAGTTTTATTTTAAAAATAAAACTAATTTTTTTAAAGAAAAATTTAAGTTTATAATACACGGTGAGCTTGGATGATGTTCAACCCAAAAGTTAATGAACATCGCCATTTTCTTTTTGATATTCTTTGAGGAGTTCTTCTGGTTATTTTAAGACCAAAATGAAAATAATCGATGGAAGGAAATTAAAATTATCTTGATTTTTAACTTTTTTAATAGTGATTTTAAATAATTTATCAAAAAAAAAACTTTATTTAAATTTTTTTCTTAATGCAAAACATGTATTTTGATATTAATAAAGAATTTCTACAAGAATTAGTCGATTAAAATATTTTAAAATATTAATTTTTTTAAAAATTGATGAAAAACATGGCTTTTTACGGTTTTTTGAAAGTAAAACTTCTATTATGCATTTCACACTAAAATCATACATAAAATTTTCTGTAAAACGAAACAAAATAGAAAGAAAAGGTTCACTTTCATGTCAAATAACAAAATTTGAAATAAACAATTATTTGTTATCATGGGAACCACCAGTTTTCTAAAATTCAAAATCCTATAAGTTTCAGGCTACCAGATTTCCATTAATTTCGCATCTATGTGAAATTGTTCAAAAGTAAATCCCTCTAAACATATTATATTGTACTTTTTATATTTAGGGCATTAAAGAAAAAAAAATTGAAATTGGCCTCCTAAATTAGAATTCTACATCAAATATTAAGTTTAAACTGTCATATTTATGAAACGATAAAACGTAAAACAGTCTATTTTGTTTCGTTTTACAGAAAATTTTATGTACTTTAATTCAACTTTTTACGATTTTAGTGTGAAATGCATAATAGAAGTTTTACTTTTAAAAAACCGTAAAAAGCCATGTTTTTCATCAATTTTTAAAAAAATTAATATTTTAAAATATTTTAATCGACTAATTCTTGTAGAAATTCTTTATTATTATCAAAATTCATGTTTTGCATTAAGAAAAAAATTTAAATAAAGTTTTTTTTTTTTGATAAATTATTTAAAATCACTATTAAAAAAGTTAAAAATCAAGATAATTTTAATTTCCTTCCATCGATTATTTTCATTTTGGTCTTAAAATAACCAGAAGAACTCCCCAAAAGAATATCAAAAAGAAAATGGCGATGTTCATTAACTTTTGGGTTGAACTTCATCCAAGCTCACCGTGAATAACATTAATTATCACGAGAATTTTCATTTATATATTTTACTATTTTTGTATGATATATGATTTTTTATTTAAAGTTGACTACCAATATACAGGGTGTTCCAAAAGTATGGAAACTTGCAAATATCTCGAAAAGTACGAATTTTTGTAAAAAATGTTCAAGATAAAAGTTGTTCCAAACAAAAAGATGTACATCTTTGAAACCAAAAAATTGGGCCCGGAGCCCAATGTTGGGCCCTACAATGAAAAAAGTGGTTTTCTTAAATGAGACCACTAATTTTCAGTATCAAATTCGTAATCCCCATGAAATTCTGCGTTCAGACATGTGGTACAAGTGCCCAAATTGAAAGCTAATTTTCAAATTGGGCATAGAGTCCAATGTAAGATTCCGCCGCCCAATGTGAGGGCCCAATATTTTTGGAATTTGTACCACAAGTCTAAGCCCAGAATTTCAGAACGATTCTGAAATGGATACTAAAAATTAGTGGGTTTTATTTAAACAACTAATTTTTTTTTAATGTGGTCCTCACATTGGGCCGCGAAATCTTACATTGGGCTTTGTGTACAGTTTGAAAATTAGCTTCGAATTTCTAATTCTGTGACCCCAAAAGCTCCTAAAGATGCGATTTTTTAAATTTATTTATTTAACGAAAAATGTTGGGCCTAATCCCAGACATTGGGCCCAATATTTTTGTCATTTTTACTACAAGTCTAACCCAAGAAATTTCTTGGGGATTACGAATTGGATACTGAAAATTAATGGTCTCATTTAAGAAAACCACTTTTTTCATTGTAGGGCCCAACATTGGGCTTCGGGACCAATTTTTTGGTTTCAAAGATGTACATCTTTTTGTTTGAAACAACTTTTATCTTGAACATTTTTTACAAAAATTCGTACTTTTTGAGATATTTGCAAGTTTCCATACTTTTGGAACACCCTGTATATTTAATATCACTGAAAATATTATTAAGAAATTTCTCTTTTTAACTATATTTGTTTATATATGGGATGACCTATTTATTCGAAAAGCTTCTATATGAGCGCAAATTATACGATACGCCCAGCAATAGACGCTCCCATACTTCTTTTTGCAACAGTTTTTATTGATCATATTATAAAAATGATAGGTGTCATCAAATGTACAGTGATTAAATTAACGAGAACTAAAGTTTTCATTATATATAATTTTAATAGTACCAAATATTGCGCTCAATTTAAAGAATGAAATAATTGCGTAATTTTATAAATAAACAATATTTGTATTCAATTATTATTTACTTATAGAAAAACTTTTATATAACCTAAAAATTATGCGTTAAAGGACCGGGTCA